ATTCAATTGTTTACAGTCGTGTTAGTGGTTTTTGTCTTGTTCTAGAAGAACAGAAAAGGCAAATATATATGTTGTGCATATTTTGACTTTCTCTTCAGTTACATCACATTTTCTGTATAGTAAACTTCGTATCTCATTGTCTGATAATGAAATATGTACATTTCGAAATGTCACATTGTGTATAATAATAAATTAGAATGACTAGACTTAAAACTGCTGTAAATTGTATCATATTTTTATATGTAATAATCAGTCATTCTTGAAACTTATTCGTAAATGAGAAAAGAACCGTTTCGAAGAAGATAGAGAGCAGACATTTTGATAATTTATCAGAACATTTTTAGTGATGTTTAGTTTTTGAATTTTTTCTTAATAAAGTTTTTTGATACACGTTTTGTAGTTTAGACTTTGCTCTTTCAAATAAAAATAAAGCGACGTCTCCGGAATATTGGAAATATGAAAAAATTGTGATTAACATTTATTGCAAAACTTATGTATAACCCGTTAGATGCATCAGGGCAAAATAAAAGGATGAATGAAAGAAGAGGCATCAGATCTTACTCCAATCTAAAAATTAAAATCTTCGATTATCCTGTCAACATCTTAAAATATAAAATCTTACACGATCTTATAAGATAATCGTAAGAACAGCTGAAAATTTTTACTAAATGTGAGTTACTGACTTTCCAAATAGTAGGAAAAAACTTCTAATGTGTTAAAAGAACTTGTTGTTACATTGGACTCACTTACCTAAATGTATCACTTTATAATTGAATAGTTTTGACAAATAACACTCAAAACCCTGATATTGTTTAATATTACCAAATACATATCCACCACCATGAAAATACAATATGAGTGTATTTTTGTCATTGTTCTCATCTGTATCATCCACCCAATATGAATCAACAGTATGATTTTGATAAGAATATTCTTGCTTAATTATTCGACATTTTAATGGTTTTGGTAATAGAACATCGAGTTCGTATGCTTCTCTAATTTGTTTTGCAGCTTCAATTGGATGCTGATTATAGTCAATGATAAATGGATTCATTTTCATCAAAACTTCAAATGCTTTAAAATCGACACTAATAGGACGTTTGTCACTCGTTGAAAAACGAAATTTAAATGTCAGAAGTTGATGAATGACACGAATTTTTAAATAGTTTATATCGAGTGATTGATAATAGAGAGGTATTGATATACCCAAGATGATAACTATTAAACTTAGAGGATGTACTAATTTTCTCATTCTCATTTTATAAATTAAATTAAATGTACGCTGTATAAGATTCTCAAATAATAACGTTGATCACTTGACTGTTTATTTATGTGAAACACTGACTTTATCTTTTAACAAAAGTCTGCCTATACTCTTTCTCATTCAATGTCTGTACTTGACCATGTATAGGCTAAATATTGTATTGAACATAAATACAGAAAAAAAAAGAAGAAAAAAAACGATGTTCGTTTAGTTTTTTACTTTACTGAACGAAAATTGTGAACATGTTTTTTTTATCAATAATTCTCTCATAGATCGTTAGATAAAAGAAAGAGAAAGAAACAGATTTTGTACATATTAAGAAAGAGAAACATAGACATAAAATATAATGACAATTTATTCGACTCATGTGTATGACTCATTCACTTTCATTTTCTCACCCAATAGTATATCTTATAGAAGAATTCTACAACCTACCATTTTCTTTGTTAATAAACAGTTTGTATATCTCCTTATCCAGGTCAAAGCTACATGGCGGTAAACTACAGTTTACGTCAAAATAAGACGAAAGAAACCGTGGAGAAAGATTACAACTATCGTCAACTGTGGTTTATAATGAAAACAGGACAAAATACGATGACAGTGTTACGATCATCGTAACCATCGTCTTGAGTAGATAAGAAACAAATAAATTACACACTTGTTTCCCGAACACAATTATGATAAACCAGCATTTCTCAGAGAGAATATTCTCTAGAAAAACAAACGATTGAGTCATTTTTAATGGTGAAAAATTTCAAAATCGATAATAAGACTAACATCACTGTTAAGTCTAATACACTCACTTAATGCTCTAATCCTTTCGTTTTCTTTAGTATTTAGTTTTCTATGTTTTGTCTTACCTCTGTTCACATGTGTGTGGTCTATTGCTGTCCATTTTTTCGACTTTCTATTTTCATTCTCTTTTTCCATTTCGTCCATCTATTGTTTTTTTCGTCTAGTTGTAATCACTATTATTCTATATTAAGGGCCTCCGCCAACTCAGAAAAATACATTTTCGTCCAAAAAATTGATTTTGAGATTTATGTATTACTGAAGAGTCCAAAGTGTTCGCTTTCCAACACACTAACTTTTATGCCTTGAAAAATGACTTTTGATGATTCTATTAACTATTATTATATTTCTTTCCTTCTTCGTTTTTCATTTCGTAAACTTGCTTCACGTTTTTCTCAAAATCTCGTTTTACGACTATAGCGTTTCGTACTTCCAAGATATCTCTGTCATTTTTCGAGCTAGAAATCTCGGATTGGTTTCAAAAGATACAGAAATGTTTTTTCTATGTCGTAACGTCGTTGGATTTTTTAATTTACGTTTAGTTTAGGAGAAATTTAAAAAGTTTCCAAAAAGTAAATAAAATCTCTCTAACCTGTCGGAGACTTTTTAAGTTCCTCGTAAACTAAACGTAAATTGAAAAATCCAACAACGTCACAACATGGAAAAAACATGTCTCTATTTTTTGAAACCAATCGAAAATTTCCAGCTCAAAAAATGGCGGCGGAATCTTGGAAGTACGAAACCATACTTTTTCACCGCTAATTTAAGAATAACTCTGGAAAAACAAGTAATAAGAGGCTGCAATTAGTAGAATGACTAAGTTTCCTCAAAGTACACATTGTCTGAAATTTTCATCAAGGTTGAATGTTCTTGGACTAAGTTTCAGAGTGGGTGGGATGCCCTTAAAGATTGCATCATCTTTAGCTATCTCGTTCTATTTTTTCTTTTTTCTTTTATGTCACATGTCTTTGTTTTTTGGGAAATATATATATATATAAGAAAGCATATATTCAGATTTAGTTAGTTCGAGTGCATATTGAATACAGAGTTAGTAAGTCGACGGATCAGTTAGTGGTCTCCTTACTTCATGTTATTACTGCATATGTATTTTTTTATCATCAGTTTTAAATATACTATATATAATGGATTGGCTTTTTGTTTAGTTTAGGTTAATGAGAGAGTTTTCTTGTCTCACTTCACTAAAGAACTCGAGCTCAACGACTAGTAGACGTCAAGAGAAAACTAGGCGATGACAACCACCTTATACATAGTTACGTTACTGTTTCACTTGAGACTAGTTTCGTCTTTATTCAAAAGACACCATCAGTCAAATGATGATAAAAAACTTTTCCTCGCCTATTACTATTAAGCACAGAAGAGACAGAAGCACATGTCTAGAACACAAATAGAAAAATATAACATAGTCCATTATTAAGTCGTACATGATATGATACGTCGTCAAAAAACATTCAGAATAAATATTTCTAATTTTCTTTTTACTGTACAATATCCATAAATAAACTTTCTTTTACTTTTTTTTTATTACGTAAGATTCAAATACAAAAATCCCAGTGTTCCAGTTTATACTATGAACAGTAGCTAGACCATGGTTAGCAATCCTTGAGAACCCAATATCTTGAAAAGCATCTTGATGTTCTTGTTTTCGCTGTTCAGCTCTCACTTTTTGTCCAATATAACTATTATATGTATTTATATAACTAATATAACTATTTGTACATCCACAACAGTCATATTTATATACTACTCTTTTTTCATTTACTGTATTACGGAATGTTTTTCCAAAAACAGATGACAAGGTGTGTCCTGCCTTGAAATTAAAATTTATCACTTTCATTGGCTTTGAAGTCCGTTTTTGCATCTGGTTAGCTAAAACTAACGAACACTTCCATAATAAAGCATAGAGAACTAAAATTGTTTTCTATTTAGAGCAGGAAGGCCCTTTTTATAGTTCTTATACAGCTTGATACCCCGAAACGTCTTTCTTACGGTATTTAATGAATAGCCATTAGAACAGAAAATACGAGTGTAATATTCTAATGCTTTTTCAAATAGTTATTTAGACGAGCAAATTCTTTTTGTACGAGTACGGAGATGAAGTTAATTTTCCAGTTTTTCGACTGATTACTCGTCCATTTCAAATATAGCTCAGTGTGCATAGGCTTGTGATAAACATAGATAATCAGTTCATTACTTTTCCTCTTCACCATTACATCCAGGAACGACAGTTTATGATCAGATTGAACCTTAACTGTAAATTTAATAGAAGGATCTAACTTATTCATCCATTTTACAAAATTAAATAAATCTTTTTGAGTACCGTGAATAATGGCAAATGTATCATCAACATATCTTAAATAAACGTCAGGTTTATTATCCCGGTATTTCTCAATTTCTTTTTTCAATTCATTCATAAACAGATTAGTCATTATAGGTACCAGCGGGCTACTCATAGAAACTCCGTTGGTTTGATCATAATTTCTCCCATCAGGGGTGGAATTAATTCTGTACAAAAAGATTCTGTATCAAAAAATACGGATAAGAATTAAATTTTAGCTTTTTCATATGTCAGACACGGCACAATTTTTGAAAAGCGGCGAATCCCTTATAGCTGCATTGAATACGCATTTCTATAAAAACAAAAATTTTTGTTTGCTGAAATATCAACATAGGTACTTTCAAAAACGGTTTACATGTACTGTTTTGAATTAAAATGAGTTCCATTAGAAAGCTAATAGGTTGTTCTTTCGAAAACGCATCAGAGTTTACATCGACTTTATCCCAACAGTTCAAAAATAATAGGACTAGTACAACTCGAGCTCCTGGTGACGAATATCACGTTTAAAACTTTTTAAAACAATGGCATCATGATCTAGACCTATGGAAATCCCGTTTCGCAGCAGAGCAGACCTTTTCGGGGCATTTTCATCATGTTTCAGCGAAAAACTTTCAGGAGCTGGTATCCTCAGATTACAATCTATATGTGCACCTCTGCAATATCCATAACGGACAAAAAGTTCCAAAATGTTAAGCCCGTTCTCAGGAGAATTTTTAAAAAAATTGTTTTTTTCTGAAAAGTAGGCGTTTTTTGTAAACCATACTTCCCCCAGAAAACCATGTCAACATACAACAACAAGATACGCGTTCGACGCATCTTTTCAAGCTCTATCTAATAAAGGGGCTCTCATTGAGATTAAAAACCATCTGATGACAGAGAAAAGCAACTTTTCGACGCGGTTTTCCTCGTTTTTCAAACTTTGAGTAAGTGCTGTACGATCTATTCATTTCTGTTTGTCAGAGATTCTAAAGCTTTTACATAAAATAGAAATACATTAAGCATGGGCGTTTTATTTTCATGTGTTCAACACGTTACTAGGTTGAGAATCTGATATAAAATGAACGTTTTTGAGCTTTGCAACTTATATACATTAAACAAAGAAATAACCTTGCAGTTAGTTAAGAAATGCAGGAGTTATTAAAGTTTGTTTTTCATTTGATCTTTTGGGTCACGCGGTATTAATTAAACCTAACAGTTGTAGTACTCAAGTTCATAATATCAGTGCCAATTGTGCAACAGATAATCCTACTTATGGTATACAATCTGAAAACGTTTCGGTGATTGTTTGTATTACGAATGGCCTTCTTGATACGTTTACTCTTGGAAACACAAAGTATGCTGACATAGTCTATAAATTAAAAATTATGCAAAATTATATTAATGATCATATTAAGAACAACAACAGGCACTGGAAAAATATTTATAGAATGAGATTCTTGACCCCACTGATCTTCCTTCTTCTAATGGTATCGGCAATCCTCACCCCGCACCAAAAGATAGGAGATCGTTCTTGGCAGTTGCTTGTTTTCAGTGATCAGCTTTAGGATGGCAAACTTCCTCTACATTTCGCATAAGGCATACACCACGCTCATATGATGTGTATTATTTGAGGTGCCAGCAGACGCGGCGGACTTTGTCCTTGAGATTGTTGATTGATACTTCGATAATTCTGACTAGAGTAAACAAACTATGTTTGCACTTATTTTGTGAAATAATTAAGATGATACTTACCGAGTGTTCAGTAGCATATCGTGACAACAATGGTTCATTCGCGATAACCTACAAAATTTGAAAACATCGGTTTTATTCGAAACAATATTTCCACATACCTGTACAATACCACCCTTGTTCTTAACTCCTGTTCTTGGACGACATTTGATACGTAAATAATAAAGAGCCAAATTATTACCACAAATGCAACTGGACCCATTATAGCACCAATTAATCAAAGTTTTCTATCCATTGGTGCTGTTGTAGCAGTGTTATTTAAACTTGATTCAAAAAAAAGAAAAAGGTTTTCAGTTCATTTCAGAGGTAAACAGTCGTCCACCATGGACTTCCGAACCAACGCCTGTCAACTGGGTATGACTCATTTTGTAAACCTATCTAGCTTTTTGGGTGAAGGGCTATATTGCTGATTCACACACCATCTCATCGGCCAACACGCCAGCTTTGAAACTACGTCCAGCTCTTTTCAAAATTCGTTTTCCTTGCTGAGAAAAACGGCTTTTACTGAAAACCAAAGAGAAACAGCGCGGAGATCTTTGGAAAACTAGGCCGTGTGTAAAAATTTTCATAGAATTCTATTGATTTTCTTCCATGCTATGATAGTCCAAGGTATTCTCTTCCAAATGAGAGCCAAGCGAGACCTTGATTTTCCGCGGCTCGGATGTTGATCATACAAATGCTGTAAATAGCTGGAGACAAAAGTCCCGTCGAAAAGCAGTTGCACTTCAAAGTTCTGTTTTTGTCTGAAGACTAGTATGAGACGGGCCAAGAACGAAGTTTTGAGCGAGAAAGCGATAAAATACTTAAATACATCTATTTTTCTTTTTCTGAAAATATTATTATTTAATGTAATAAACACGTGTACACACACGTGTGTGTGAAGTGCGTTTAAATATACATGTACATTAGTGTTTGTTTGTACATTTTGTTTTTTTCATTGGTTGCCGTGCTCCAGCTCCAGCTTGAATCAATTCAGCATCGACATAACTTTGTTCTTTTTTCAAATTTTCGAGAAATTTCTAGAAGTTTGGATGTTTACAATTAAATAATGCTGATAACCGATTGTGCCATCCTTCAACGATATTATTAGTTCGATGACATTCTTGAATTGTATTTTCACGCGTATTCCATAAATCTAATTCAAATTTCGGCTGTTTACGTGGACGAGATAAACGACTTTTTATACCGACATATGTTTCTTCAAAATAATTAATAATTGGTTGCCCTTGTGCTGGAAATTGTTGTTTCAATTGTTCGAATGTTGACATAATATCACTTGTTGGTAAAAATGATAAAGCTGCTAACGATCGAATATTTTGTGAAACGTTTGGATCATCCGCATATAATTTTGTAAGACCTGAATGTTGCACACGACGATAAATATTTTGACATAAATGAAAGAAACATCCAGATATATCCGCATTTGGAAATTTTTTGCTGAATACATTAATAACAGCACGTTCATAATCCATCATTATATTTTGTGGTGAAAATTTTGGGCGCAGTTGAACAATTTCATCTATCATTTGTTTATAAAGACGTTGTGTTTTTCCTAAGCAGTCAAAAGGAAATTAGACAAGATGAAAATTCTAGATAAATCAAAAGGAAATATAGTGCAGAAATAGGAAGCAAGGATACCTCTGTTTCTGAAGAAACTTTTTGACTTCTCCTCCATGTTAATCCTACTCTCACCTCTTCGCACCGCTATTGTTATTGTGTCAAAGGAAATGTTGTACACGAAGAAGGAAACTAAGCAAGAAAAAGTACATATTGGTCTAATATATTAGCTCAATAGCACTAATAATACTCTCTTCTATTATAATGATTTGTAAAGTATTAAAATAGATAAACATCCTACCTGGTAATAAAATTGCTTGCGTTTTTTATACTGTTTATTGTGTACGAAGTTGATAATATTTATTAATTCTTTTATTTCTTCCTTTTTTTACTTCGTAGTTTATTTGTATTGCTTTAACTAAACTTTTCGATTAATGAAAATCTTCATCAGTATAACATTTGTTTTTATTGTCAACTACTGATGAAGATTTTCATTAATCGAAACGTTTAGTTAAAGCAATACAAATAAACTACGAAGTAAAAAAAGGAAGAAATAAAAGAATTAATAAATGGTTATAAAATATATACAACAGGAACAATATGTTCTAAATATGTCGCGTGAATCGTATATAATTGAAAATAAATTTCTGGTACGACGCTAAATGTTCCATCGACATATACTGATTCAGATCTTTCTAAAATTCGTAATTGTTTTTTGGTTGAAAGTATAAGTAGATGTTTATCGATTGGACCAGAATCAAATTGAAGGAATGTATGTTGGCGCATTGTTTTTGTATATTCGGGATCGATTATTATTGTATCACGACTTGTTGGAATAGCCAGTGGATTTTGTTCACGTTGACGAATACGACGAACTGTACGTTTTAAATTACGTAAATCTGGTAAACCCCCCCCAGAATAGA